TTATAATTGAAGGAAAAGAAGAAATTGCTCACATCATGCAGTTTATAATACCCTAAAAGACCTATGGCATAAAATATATCTATATGCTTACCATTACGCTTATATATTTTGCGTTGAGATAAAAACTCTGCTGTATTTATATAGTAACATTGTGGCAATTTTTCTAGCTGCTTATTGTGAAAAATTTTATTATTTTTAATCGACTAAAAAACTGTAGAAATTCAGTATTACTAAAAAATATTAATAAAACCATATGTAAATAAAGATTTTATATAAACTGTATATAATAAAAAATATTTGTGACACTGACAAATTATATTTTATTCTTAGAATATAGTGACAGTCGCTATTATTATTTGCCTATAAGACGTAAGATTTAGTGAAAAAAAGGTATTGTAATTTTATCAAAGATATAGAATATTTAGGCTACAATATATATTCTATACTACAGGTAAGTGAACATTTACAGGGAAAAACTAAACTATCTTTATCTAATAGATGCCATATTATGATCATAGACATAGATTATTGTAGGTTATTATATTAATATTTAAGTTTAAACTTTTTTGAACAATGATCTTAAAACAGTATTTAAAAGACTGTTTAAATAAAAAAATAGTAATAGAAAATGATCGTAGTCCCTAAAACGTATTGATTGTTTACTAAATATAAACAATTATTATTTTATTCTTTATTTTAAATCTTTTATTACGTATAAGAATTGTAGATTCGTATCATCTAGTTTATAAATTAATGGTATATAGTATAGAATAGTACATTGTATTAATCGTATAGGCAAGTACAAACATCCAGAAATAAAGGCAAGTAAAGTTTCGTGAATACATGTTATAAGGTGCTGTCTACAAATTTATAAAAATATGAGAGAGGGAGAGAGAGAGAGAGAGAGAGAGAGAGAGAGAGTGAGTGAGTGAGAAACAGACAGAGAGAGAGAGAGAGAATCCTTTCTTGTGTTTGTCTCTACTCGTCTTTTGAAACTAACTTACTTTGCCACTTGCCAACAACACCAGTGAACGATCAGAAGAACGCATGAAAATGTAATGAGTCACAAAGCCGGTAGTCGCGAATTAGCAAAACTTGGGGAAAGAGCTACAGCTACACGAGCTTGTAGAATCCTTGGAGTGAAAGAACCGTAGATTCAGTCAGTCAGGCCATGTTACGGCCTAATCGAGTTTCGGTCCAGAACGGTGGTAGTTGCGTTGTTTGTATGCTAAGAGGCTTCTGGGGGAGGCGGTTCGCTGTTGCTAATGTGCAAAATGTAAAGGTGACGCAGGGGAAGTGGTTTAGAGGGCGCGCACCGGCTATAGAACGTTGAACAAGTGTGCCGCGGATTAATCCCCTTTAGTCCAATGGTATGTGAGCGATAAAGCACTTGTGCTTAATCAAGTGCTTTAAGCTTTGTTTTAAAGAAACTTTTTAATAATATTACGATAATATACTGGAAATACTCTTCACATATGGTTAATGAGTTATTGAATACTTTATATACTTTTAAAGTATTTATTACATTTAAGATTATAGATTTATACAAGATTTATACAAAGTTATTGTAGATGATTTTTCACAAAACATTTTTATTATTTTATATATGTATATATGAAGAATAATACTGTAAACTTCTTTTTTTATTTTAAATTATTCACTTTATTTAATATATAACTTGAACTGCATAATAAAGTATGATAGAAACGAACTATTACATACATCGCATTCTATAACTTTGAAATAAATTTACCTTTTTAAGTTATTTATATTTTGAATTTAAATAATTGTTATATATCCATAATATATATAATATATTATATATTATATATACACAAATATAAATATATATAGTTTTGTCGAAATTTATACAAGATAATGAAAATGCAGTATGACGTACTAAATAATAATGTAATAGATCCATTCAAAACAAAATTTTATACTATAGATAAGATTATAAAAGAATTTCATGGAATATATCAACAAAATGATGTACTTAAAGTTATAATGCAGTTTTATTTTAAAAATATTTTACAATGAAACTTTTTAGCTATCTTATTTTTTCCGTTGTTTACAGACATATTGTTTTATTCAATTGATAAATTGTATTAAATAGTAAAATAAAACTCAGGATAACAAAAATTGATATAACTAATGTATAAAGTACTTATGAACAATTATACTCTAATTTATTTGTAGATAACTATTTTAAATCAGTATTTTAATCAAAGTAAACAGATCAAATATGAAAATAAGTGTTTTAAAAAATTATGTATATTCTTCATAGAATTAATTTACAATCCTATTAAAAGGCATATGTGAAATTATAATTTTATACATGTATCTAGAATTTTAATAAGCGTGTTTGCGGATACATGCATGTGTGTATGCGGTTATATAAAATTAAATCAAATATTTAACATTCTTTTTCCTAATTTATTAAATTGTTACTAGATTTTTGTATCGTATAGTTTACATTTTTTTATAAAACATAAATTTCAGACTAAATATTTCAAATATCATTTTACTGATCATCTTATTTTAGGAATTATTACTGAAAAACTGAAAAATTTTATAAATACTCTATATTTATGATTTCATAAATAGAAACATGTGGTATTACACTTAATAAATAATTCCAAATTTTTTTCATTTTCAATTAATTTATGGCTTTCATTTTACCAAGTAAATTTTTAATTTGTGACTTATTGAATATACTATTAAAATCTTATAATACATAGAAGTTTATTGATAAATGATTATGTACATATATATAAAGATGAATATATGAAAGAAACAAATGAAATTGCATTACAAAAATTCTGATCAAACATTTTAAAAAAATTATTTGTTTAAAAAATAAATTTTAAATTTAAAGTATTAAGTACTTATATGTAAATAGGCTTCTTCGCAAGAATTATTCACGAGATTCCGATTTTATGCTCACATTCACCAAACTTCTTACAGTGTGTTAATATTAAATTGCCTCCTCTCTTAATCATCTTTTTATTCTTTTATGGTGTTATAGAAATTCATTTTATTCGCTGTGGGCTATTTTTTCGGTAATGACGTCATGTACATCTCATTATAGCAATACGATCAGAAAGTAAGGAGGAACACGAGTGATACGAAGGACAAAATCTTGCCGGCATCATTCATTCATTGTAATAAAGTAATACAGAAAGCCTTAATGTGTTTTATAACCATATTTTATAACGTTTCTTTGTTATTAAATCGAGATTATACTTATGATTTAAAATAGAAAATATGTTTTAATATATGTACTTTGTTTTTTTTTAATGCCTACTTTATTTTAGTTATTACTGCAATATTTTTTAAATTCTTTAAATTCACTTACAATATTTAAAAATTCTTCATATTTAATTCACTCATTAGAGGTGGAACTAGTATTACTTATTTTATGATATATTTACATTTAAAGTTAATTATTTGTTTGCAATGGCACAACTCTATTAAATATTTCTTATCAATAAAACTGAACTTCTCTAAAAGTTCTACAGTATGTACGACGTTTTTCGAATTTTTCGGAATTTCGCAAACTCAAAAGCGAATTTTCTTAACATAAACTATAATTGAAAGTATTAATGTTTATAGTAGAAAAAGAAACATCAAAGTTTTCAATTAAAGCTTTTATTTCAACATCAAAAACATTCACCTACAACAGCAAAGTATACGAAAAACAAAATTAATAATGACCTTTAACAAATTTTCAATAAAGTCACCAATAATAAAATAATATTTAGAAATATATAATATTTATCTAAGATAAATAATGTATATAAATAAGATAATTACAGAAGTCATATATATTGATAGTCTTTAATTACAATGCTATAATAAAAAGTAAAAAGTTAAAAATAGGTACTCTAATAAATTATCGATCCAGATATTATTAATAATAAAGAGAATATAAAGTAAAGATATTATAACTATAGGTTTTTTTCTTCTACGTTTGTTCATAGAAGATATGTAGGGTGTAAGCAATTTTAATGTAAAAATAAAATCCATCATGAACCTGTAGTGATAGAATTGTTAATAATATAGGTTATTAATGAAAGGTCGTATTCTAAACCGTATTCGATTTTGGACACTTGCACTTCAAGATGTTGAGGAAATTTCGTAATAATGAGACTTATTGTAATAAAACAGATGTGTGTTGAATCCTCCGGGATTAATAGACTTTTATTGTTGCTGTTTTGAGGTAGTTTTTTAGATTCAGATAACGATAATCATCGCAAACTATTATTCAGTATTGATTTAATGTTTAGATACTGCGTGAAATCGTTACAAGCTCGGAAAAGCTAAGAAACTGGGAGTTTTTAATATCACCGCGAAGCAGTCTGTCCAAATTCCTGAGAAAATAAAGTTCTTGTTTTGTGGCTACAAAAATTTAAGTGGCAATTAAATTAGGTTACAAGCATGTATATTATTTTAAAAATTGAACGTTTTGTTAAATAAAATTAATGATTATTCTTAACGATTATGCAACGTAATGAAATATACTTTATTGTGATATTACAAATACCACGCTATTATTAATTGATCTTTATTTTATAAATACTTTATATGATCACGTATCAAAGTTGGTTGGACAGTTGTTAGTAACACAGCGTTGGCGTATATCACAGTGATTATCACATGTTATTTTAATTGATGTTTATAAATATTAAAATATATCATTTCGATTAATCATTATATATTGATAAGTTGATTGATTCATTTTAATATTGATTGATATAATATTCATCAAAAACTAAAAAGAATATTCTCAAAATCTTAAAAACACATGAAATATAGAACAATTGCGAGTCGAAAATTATATGTCAAATGTTCATCTTAAACAAATTTTCCTATAAGAGTAAGTAACGAGTAGTCAGGAATTATATAAAACTTGTGTTAATAAGTAAGTAATATTGACACTTATGTATCATACGAGCGACAAATAAAAACCGCAAGTAAGTTTCATTAGGTGGGTATAATTACTTAATATGCGATGCGTCGGTGATTTGTTGTTCGTCATCTAATGTAGTTAAGTTGGAAAGAAATTCAGGATGATCATTGAATTTAATATGTTTTGTGTTAACGTTATCTTGCATGGAACTGTTGCTACAATTGTCAGATCTTATCTCCTTTGGTTTTAATTCTTTAATTGTGTGCTGCTGTCGATTCTGTTCTGTATATAACAAGTCGGGAACAATTATGTCGATATTCATGTCATCTTCAGCAATTGCGTCTAGATTTCTGCAAGAATACCGATTTTGCTGATGTTGATTATCTTTTATCTTGGCCGAGATCCACCTATTACTTACGTTGCTATTATCCATATTCTCAAAGTTAAGGATACGTTCAGCACTGTTATAAAATTTTTTATATTTTTTTGTACAATTCAAAAAATTTTTAATCAATGTACATACATTTTTAATTCATAAAAAATTAAACTTTATTATTAAATTTTTTATTTTTATACTATTATAAATTATTATTTATAGTTTACATGAAAGAACACTTTAACTTAATATTTCAAAAGTCGAAAAATATCAGAACGTCAACTATAATTTTCTCTGATTTGATTCAAATTCATATTTTGGATTCTTGATTATTAATGTCATCAATGTTTTTGCAGTAAAAATATTGTTTTATTTTAATAGTTATTATAGTAATTTTCAAGTACTTGTCAATTTGCAATGTATCAAATATTTTTTCAAGATTAAATGAAATTTACCTAACAGTAGGACACCAATTTATTTTTGCTATTGATTGGGATCCTAATGAACGTCGGGTTTCATTTTGCTCGATCGAATTCGATTTGGCTGATGTTAGCTGCATTTCAGTTGAATTACTCCCAAATTCTGTTTCATCGATTGTATATTGTTTTGGTAATACTTTTTCCAATACATCAACTAAAAAAATAATTTTTTTTTTATATTAGTATTCTAACTATAAAAAAGATATGTGTTAAGGAAACTATAAATATTTTCAAAAAACATAACGTTTTCTAATTTTAGTAATAGTTTAAATACATGTAATAGATTAGTCTGTAATAGATTAGATGAGTCTTATAGATTAGCATTTATTTCCGTTAATGGAAACCGTAAATAATAACTATGTAATGCATTTGTTATTACAATATATAATGCATTTATTATTATATATTGTTAGTAAATAAATAATTTTTTTCCATAAAATTTATTCCCTATATAACTAAAATATAATATTCATTATACAAATTGAATTGAGTACACTAAGTAATACGCAACAATCCTAAACTTCGACGAAAAAGTACTATTTTTTAATTAGATACGGAAGTTAGGTTAATAATAAGCAATGTGATATCTATAAGAAAACATGATTTTTTCAAAATAATATATAATTAAAAAGAATAACTAATGTTACCGGTGTAATTTAAGTCGTTGGATACTTTTTCATAATTATATTGCTGCTTCTTCCGATTTGAATCATTGACGATGTTATCGATTATTTCATGTTGATATTTTATTTCATCAGGTATGTGATTTCCCTGATTTATGATTTTAGTATTACAACATAATCGCTTTTTTGGCATTTCGTATTAAAAGCTCCACAAAAATATTATAACAAAATTTTTCGAAACCTATAAATGTTTTTTTGACACTTATATACTTGATTTGCAAGACGCGTTAGATATAAGTGATGAAACTGAAAACTATTGACAAGTGAACATCTCATGAGCTTTGTCTCTTTTATTTCAATTTAAATACTTATTTTTTAGCCTAAATGTTTTAAATTACTTATAAATATTAAAGTATTTCAGTTTTAATAATTCTTGAAACAATTTTTTCTATCGTTTAATTTAAATATATATTTTGAATGAAGATATCTTTTAAATTAATGTAATTTTATTATTAACATTTAATTTTATTTTTACAAATTGTTTAGAATATTAATGAGTTTAATTCTAAGTAGACTATATATAAAATACTTATATTATTATGCTTCAAATAATTTTTAAAAGTTTTTAATTGATTATCGTATGATGTTTGAAATAATACATTTTTGAAAAATAATTAAAAATTTTTCTGATATTCTTATTAAAATGTGTTGGATATTGAAATATATGAAAATTTGTAGAAATAAATACATTTTCAATAAAATTTTCCTCACCTTTTGCTTATTAAAAGAATTTTCTGAAAAATGTGCATATATATAGATAGCAATGTATGAGCACGCGTGTGTGTATGTACGTATTATATTTTTAAAATCATTCATTTCGATATTTTAATTAACAAAAACTGTAAGGTTTAGACTTGAGTAAAAAAAAATTATATGAAAACATTTATTGTCTTCGATTTAATATTAAATACATAATAGATTAATTAGACATCTGTAATTTTATTTTTAATTTTTAATGTATAGAATATTCTGTAATAATGCTTTCAGGAACAATTGGCATATTTACCTATAGTTAAATATATACATTAATAACTTTTTGCATTTCCAATTATTATTTTTCTTACTCGACAAACTGACAATTTAACAAACTAAACGTTTTCTCTTTATTTACAATGAATTATTTATTGATATATTAAAGTATACGTATATTTTATAGATTTTAAGTGAAAAGGAATGTTTTATACATTAATTCGATTTATATTAGCTTATTTAAAGTGGAAATGTAATTTTAATGTAAAGCATATGAGGAACACTATTTTTAATATATTATTGTATTTTACAAATAATGACCTACAAGCTAGATTATTATGAGATTTTATCAGTATGATGCTATCGATTAACAGGATTGAATATTGGATGTGGATTTCTGGAAAATAGGTCATTCTACGACGTGGATGCTGCCACTAACATCGTTCCCAGTTTGATCAGCGCTTGCAAATGGAAATGGCAATAGGTAGCCTAGAACTTACTGATACATAAATAATACAAGAAGGACATGAAGGTGAACAGTGGGAAAGAAAAGTATTGAAGGCAGCCCTGAGCAATAACGGAAAAAGGAAAATCTTCATCCCGAAATTTCTATTTCCTCTGAGTTGAGAAAAATTACTTAATCCTGCGATCCCACCCAGAAGTGGCATCATTATCCGAAATAGATGGTTTTCTCCGTTTCTCAGTGTGAATGCAAGCTCGTCTCGCTTCTCTCGTGACGCTTTGTATTGAAATCCTCGACCGCAGGACTTCCAACCATTCTTTTCTCTATCTTCATTTTATCTTTTAACACGTTTTATCTTCCATTTTCTTTTTTCTAATAGTTTCTATTTTTTACTTATATAAAGAGAGATATAATATTGAGTTCAAGTATCCTTCCATTAGCTTGATTTGATTTACCATTATTTTTGTCATTAAACAGAGGAACCATTGAACGCGAAGACTAATATATGCGAGAATTATAAATCGAATAAGTAGATAAATGAAAAGAAAAATAGTAAAGAGTTTTCTTAACTATAAAGTTCTGCAATTGAAAGTAATCAAGTTTGAGAATTAATCAAGGGGAATGGAAAAAGAACGAGGGCCCTAGAACTACGCCGACATTTTGCACTTCCATTTGCTTCTTGCGTTTTCTGAAGTCCTTGACGGTATGTCTGATGAGATATACATAAAGAAAGCATGAACTTTTGTTATACATAACTCGTTATTCATAACTTATTCTATTAATTCATAGCTAAATAATACTATTATGGTAAGATTATTTTTATTTTTGCTTAGGGATCATTATATTTTTCTAATTAAAGAAAATGTTTATTTTACTTTAAATTATGCATATAATTACATACACTAATAGAAAATTAGTTAAAATAGGAATATTGTTTCGCAATATGTAATTCCATAATAATAAGAATATAAAGTATTCCAAATATTCATCAGAAAGTAACACCTTTTATTGATGTACGTTCATAACTTTACTATAAAAATACAAATAAATATACATATACTGCAGTAATAAAAAAATTAGAGATAGTTGCACAACCTTGGTTTTTGCTAAACTATTCATTGACAGAATGACAATACATTATATTGAACTTTCAAACATTTTTATTAGGAGAAGTCTCATTATATTCTATTATTATTAACACTGCTTATATGAGTTGCTATGAAATTAAGAGAGAGAGAGAGAGAGAGAGAGAGAGAGAGAAGAGAGTGAGATGAACGAGTCGGAATGTCAGCCTAACTCGTTGAGGAGATTATAATCAGGCAACAGAAATTAAAGCCTTGCAGCTGAAATGTGAGATAGATGAGCTTTTTCGGAACACTATAAATTCTAGCCTGGGATACACTGAAAGAACAAGGGTAGGAGAATGAATACACGATCTTATGTTGCATTGCTAACAGCGTCAAACTGTGGTTCTTTGAAGAAAGCCTACTTGATCTTCTTAAAATATACTTTTATTTTGCTTCCATATTCTTTATGAACTTATATGTGTATACGTATATGTATGTATCTTAGATTTCTTAGCATTTCATACATTCGTTTAGGAAAAACGATGAAAACGCTTTTCTATCTTTGGACTTTAATCTTATCTTTTTTCTGTTTGATTAACGGGATGGAAATAGAATTTCCTCTTTTTATTTCTCTTGAATTATATATATGCGTTGTGGAAGTCCAAGTTTAGCTGCAAATAAAATTAATTATCTAGCCAGAAGTCGATAAACGAATCGCCTCAATATCTATCTTTTGTCTCTTTTTACGATCTATGCAAGTTTTAGACACTCACTGTGGATATGTAACTAGTGACTTTCAATATTTTTTTCTAAAGCTATAAACATGCATATTTATTATACAGATTTAATAATTGCAGTGTTCATTGTTTTGATAAAATGATATACTCTTGTTATTATTTTGAATACTATATCATATTTCTTATAATAGATTTATTAAGCTGTAGAATGTTTTTATTACGAATAATTAAACTTTGAAAAAACTACTTATAATGTATCATACATTGACAAACAATTGATTATAATTGATATCATCATAAACAATATTTGAAAATTGAATATATGCTTTACTTTATCGATTATTTTATAATTATTCTTCAATAATACTTTAGTTTATAATACTAGATTCATGCTTCTTTTTTTCGAATTAACATAAGATTAGCTTCAAAGAAATTATAAGCAACAGATGTAGAAGCCAATAATATTATACATTCTCTCAAAAATATATTATATATTTATATATTATATGTATTAAATAAAATATTAGAGAAAATGTAACTTTAATAATATTATTTGAGTGATATAAAATCAATGAATTTCATATACTTAATATAAGTTAAATTAATATAACTCAAATTATAAGTTGATATATTATTATTGAACTTAATGGAAATGTTGTATCCCTCATACAAGTAGGTTTATGTTGTCAAGACTGAACAACATAACAAATTCATTAAAGTAAACGTTGAATCATGTTCCGCTGATCTCCTCCACAATTCTGAAGTATGCATCAAAGCACAGTAACAAGTCACTATATCCGGTTTGATGAATGCATGCATCCACAACTTCCGAATACATCAATTATTAATTAATAAAAATCAATGTGAGTAAAATCAACGAACTTATTTTTTTTTTTTTATTTTTCATTTTATTTTATTTACTATCCCTTTTTCATTTATTACACACATACGTATAGTATATTTATTGTTAGAGTAATAGTATTAAATTATAGAAGACACAAAGAGATGAAAAAAAAGAAGATGTACGGGTTTCATACGAATTGCCGAAATAAATTTAAAAAGATCAGTAGAATCAAATGCGTCACAATAATGAAAGAGAAAGATGACCAGACAAAGGTAAAGACGTAGGACGGCTGAGGTGAATTTAAAATCGACTTTGTGCGTCAATAGTATCTAAGTCGGTAGCAGACGTTTCGTTTTCACTTGCAGTTGGCGCGTCTTTGAAAAATCGTTGAGATTTTAGGAGAACCTTTCTTCTTTTTCTTTACTTTTTCGGATTTTTTGTTTTTTTTACCCCTCTATGTTATAATTATATTATATACTTTATCCCTTTAATATATATTATATACATATATATATATTATATACTTTAACCCTTTCTCGGATTTTCTGATCCATTTCTTTTTATTTTTCTTTGTATTATTATAGAATTTTGACTAGACAACATAACATTTATGTTCATTTTAAGATGGTGTGATTAAGAAATAATAAATCGTACTTTTTAGAAGGATTTCTGTGTTTGTCTCTTCCTTTTTCTGAATATATAAATATATATATTTCTCTTTTCTAAAAGCTCTTAGCTCTTAGTAATTCGGTAAACGTTGCGAATGTTAGTATTTCCTTGTATTACTTCTATATATTAATTGTTTCTTTTGACATATTATTTTTTTTTTATATAGTGTTCTTATATTATTGTAAACAAATTCTCCTATTAACTATAAATAATTAGCAGTTATTTCCAATCTTAGAAGTAAAACTACATTATCAAATTATTTAAAGGTATTAGCCAATATCTAGTAAACTAAGCATGAAAAAATAAAAATTTATAATTCATATTAACTAATATGTGATTGCATAATCAATATAATACTTTCAATTATGCTAGACAATAGATATT